TAAAGATTTTATTTATTTGACAGAGAGAGACAGGCAGAGAGGGAACACAAGCAGGGGGAGTGGGAGAGGGAGAAGCAGGCTTCCCGTGGAGCAGAGAGCCCGATGTGGGGCTTGATCCCAGGACCCCGGGACCATGACCTGAGCCGAAGGCAGATGCTTAACGACTGAGCCACCCAGGCGCCCCTATCCTCTCTCTTTCAAATGGACCATGAACTAATTATAACTCCTCAGGAGGCACTGATGTGTGCCTGTCCCTGGGCCAAGTGTGCATAAACGTGACTACACACGGTGCTATCTGTGGATGTCTCCAAGAAGAGCTGTGCCTACCTCTCAAGGACACCAGGCCTGTTCTATTCCCTCATCCAACTCAAGAACATTTTTTATGGTCATTTTCTTCTTCAGGATCTTTTCTTCTTTGAGGTTCTCCAGAATAAGGCCAAACTCGGCAAACAGTTTCTCAGATGAGGCCAGACCGGGTGAAACAGTAGCCACAGGACTGGTCATGCCAATTCCCAGAGGTTTCTGGACAGACAGACAGGCAACTGGTGCCACTTCCCTGGATAAGAAAGGTAGAGAAAAATGTGCTTCCCAGTAAAGGCTTCACCCCTGTCCCTGGGGCTATCCCACACTAAGATCAGGTCTAGTGAAGAGGTGGGGATGGATGGGTGTAGGGAGCCAGAGAAAAGGGCAGGACTTGGGACCACTGGACTGTCTATACATTTCACCGTGGTGGTCAGTGCAGAGAACCTGAGTGGAAGTGCAGGGGCATAGCTTCCCCTACTCAAATCACCAGGCCTTTGCAGCCACTGCCCCTCCCACTGTCTCTGGGCAAGGCTTTTCAGTCCACAGATGATGTCTGCCAGATGATGACCTCTTACTAGAGTCCCTACACACATGACAAGGACTGGGGTAGAGCCTGAGGGTACCTCCTGATGATTAACTTTTTCTTGTACCAAGCACTACCCAGCAGAGCATACTTCCATGGCATTCAAAGACTGTTACTGTTCTTGGCACCAAAAATTTACATCCTTTCATTAAATATTCAAGATATCATATTTTTCTTGATGGCCAGCAAATCTAGGCATTGCAAAGCTCAAATGGGATCCAACCTGAGATTTTCCAGTGGTTTGTAACATTTTTGTTGTGAGGTTATGAGAGGGAGGGGATAAAGAAAAAATAATAAAATGTTCTGTTCTCAGGAATTTGATATACCGATATAATTATAATGATATAAAATCATAGATCTTAACACTCCACAAAGGCTAACCAGTTCTTCAGAGAACCAATATCATAGGCTGGGAAGCTTGTTTGGTGTGGATAGGGAACATGAGAAGACAGGAGTGGGCAGGTCCTGCAGGCAGGTCATTCTCTAGGTAACCACCCTTAGGCTGGCACTTCTCATCTGAATTGTCCAGAACACTCCTATCCACTGTTGAACCATGACTGAGGCCAGCAGTGCAAGCTCCTTGTCCATGGTGCCCAAGACAGTCTGTGACAACCTGATGTTTGATGTCCACCTCTACACCCATCCTGATGTCACCTACTTCCTTCCATCCTTGTCTTGAACATGACCTCAGGTCTCTAGAACATGGGCTCTCTGCTTTGTTGTCAGTGCCCAGAAGGTTCTCAGGAAGCCAAATTGTGAAAACTTCAGTAAATTTTGTCTCCGTTCACTACCCGTCCACACACATGCATCCTAGTCCACCATCCTCTACCTACCCTTCTTACACTGCCACCACCCCGGCTTGCCATCTTCTCCTGTTCTTGTGTTCCAAAGTCCACCTGCTCTTCTGTACATCCACTCAGCCCTCAAGTGGCCAACTAGCTATTCCGATAAATAATCTATGTGAACAGAGGCAGGCTAGAAGATTCCGACTCATGTATCCTACTAAAAGTATGTGTCCTAGGACTTCCATGCACCTCGACTGTCCTAGGCAACCACCTCCATTCTCCCACACCAGCTCTAACTTTACTTATCTCTGCCCCCTTGACTTAGCGCCCATCTCACTTTAGCAAACTAAGTTCTGGGGAACCTTTCTCTAGGACTGCTAATCACTGCTGGACCCTAACTCATGCTTCCTGACCTCAACCACATTCCCTCTGAGACTTAGGAACTCTTACTGATATCTTTGGGATGTCCCATAGTATTTTCTACTGACTGTTACCTCTTCCTGTGTCTTCAAGCTCAGACTATACTACAACTGCCCTCCCCTGTGTCAGGATCCAGCCCTGACATCCCTGAGATCCATAATATCTCCTTTTTCAGCTTCCCCCACCGCCACTCTATATTTTCTCATCCTCTGCTCACTGTTGGTCTATCTCTGAATTGTACCTCCTTGGCTAAGTTAAACCTCCCTCTCCTGTCCCTCACCCCACTACCTACTGCCTTCTTCCAGATCTGATTCATCAACAGCCCCCCCACTTCCATGTCCAGTCTCTCATGTGCAACAAATCCATCTCTTCTTTTCTCCTTCAGTCAAAACTCTTGAGTGGTCCACATGTGCCTCCCATCACACCCTGCCGTGCCTCAGCACTGTGTAGCCTCACTGACTACACAGTGATCATTCTGAGCCCATTCTCAAAGTCCACTGTTGACACCCAAATCATCAAATCTAGTAAGGTTTTCTCAGTTCCCATCTTCCCTACCCCCTTCTCCACTCAATACTGACAGTGATGGCCTTCTTGCCCTCCATGGCCCTGTGTAGGAAGGCTCTTCTACCTCCCTGACCTTTCTGGCTCCATCTGCCCCATTGCATCCCCTTCTTGTCCTTTGAATGTAAGGGCTCCATCTTCAGCCCCTTCATCATTTTCTTCTCTCTGTCCCCTCTCCCGAATAATTTCATCCATTTCCACAGCTTCAAATATCACCTCTAAAGGAACTCTAACTCTGCACATATGCTGGGTATCTTCCATTTACCCTCCAAATCCACCCTCTACCCTTCCCACCTAGACAACAGCAAAGGATTCCCTTGCCCTCTGGCTTCTGTTAAGAAAAGCCCTTCTTCCCTCTCATGCCTGGACTATGGCCTCAGAACAGTACCTCACCTGCAGTCTTACCACCCCCATCTCAGCCTTTCCCCCACTGCCTCCCCAATCTTCTGAAGAGCAGCTCTGACTACACCATTCCTCACTCAAACACTATCAATGGCCCTCCACTGCCTACCAAATGGGATGCGAGCTCTTCAGCCTGACACAAGGGCTCTCCACATGTTATCCCTTTCCTGCCATCCCAACCTTCTCTCACTTCTCCCCCTATATAACCTATGCTTTAATCCAATTCAACTCACTCTTCCTTTAAAATCCAATGCATATGCCTTTCAACATATTATTGACTATACCATTCTTTCTGTTGGGAATGTACATCCCTCCTCTCTACCCCATTTATGTCCACCCTTCAAGATTCAGCTTTGTCATCATCTTCATATATGCTTTCTCCACTTATTCCATCTAATTGTGTCACCCTCCTTCTTTAAATCTGTAAGCCTTTCATCTTTACCTCCCTGTAACATCAAGCATATTCTGTCTTGTATTTTATAGTTGTACCTGTGAACATGGGTGTGTACCTTACCTCCTACTAGACTATATACTACCTAAAGGAAGGGATAGTTGATAGCCTGTGATCTTGAAGGTCTCCTTGAATCTAGAGATCCCAAGAGCAAACTGCCTGACAGATAACAGATGCTCATAACTTTCTGTGAATGACCAACCGTCCAAATTCTGGAAAGGGGAAAAAAACAACTTAAAATTATTTTTCATCACAATTGGCATGAGACACCCCATTTCAGGGATATTTCACAGTCAACTTATCTTAGGAAAAGGCTTCTTATCTCCTGATCTTTCAAACAGCTGGGCATAGGTCAAAATTTCTGCCTATTAAATAATTAAAAAACAGAGCCATAAGATCCTATCCACTGCAGACCAAATATGAGATCTGAGTCACTGTAATCCCCTTGGATTGGAGCTTGGAACCCCAGGCTGACCTGGCCATCCAGACGTGACAGCAGAGGCTCTGACCTTGGAGAAACACTACACAACATTTTAGCTCTGGTTGGTGGCCAAAACACACCTGTAAGCAAGACCAGGGAGGGGATGTGAAGGCAGAGGCTACAAGGGAAGAATGTGCTCATAGTTGGATTAAGCCAAGTGTACTGGTCTTCAAAGTGACCTGCATCTTTGTCTTAGCGTACTGAGCTCTGTTAATCTGAGAAAGAAACACACACACACACACACACATATTCATGGCCAAGTTGAACCCACTAATCAGAGAGCTTGGTATGGGACAAAAAGATGCACAGGCTCAAAGTCTAACATACAATATTTTCCAAAAAAATAAAACTGATGAGTTTTTTTCCTTCCCTAACCAGGCAAGTTGTTCAAATTCTCTGAGTCCACCTTTCTTCATCTGAAAAACTGGGAATACCACAACTGTCCCACGACTTCGATGGATTTTTTTTTTTTTTGAAGAATGGCTAAAGTAGTAGACGTGAAAAAGACTTAAAAGGTATTTTAAACAATCAAAATGTAAGGTGATATTATGACTTCTAGGTAAAACCATTACCAAAAACAAAAGCCACCCCAAGATTGGAAAGAAGTGTCCTGATCATTAATTGGGTCATTAGTCCCCAGCACAGATCCATCAAGTGTTAAAAATTTCCCCTTGCTTATCCACTCCCTTCTCTCTTACTCCCCTCCCTCTTTCCCTGATTCTCTCCCCTGTTTCTTTTCCATCATACTTTTTTCCTCCCTTGTCTAGACTTCAGATGGTGTGAGGCATAGCCAAGAGCCCTGGAACATGGCTTTCCCCCCAAGCAGCTCCAAAGCTGGAAGACAGAGACCCCATCC